GGACCAGCTGTGCAGGGAGGTTATATATATGTGTGTATGTATACACTTGTGTGTTCATGTGTATTTTTCTTCTAGTAGAATGCATAGCTATGGTAATTCTCCCTCGCCACCTCTGTCACCTGTTCCCTCCAGTGATAGACTGTTTAAAAACAAGTTCAGCATAAATAGAAACTAGCATTAATACTCTCACTTTTATGATGGCAGGTAGAAATTAGTTGGCATACTTCTACTGTAGTGTAAATGCTTTGAATTTTTCAAGAGACTGCGGCAGGTAGCCAGAAAATAGTTATTATGTTCTATTTCTTTAGAATTTTGATTTGGGGCATTAGAATGGTCTCTTATGCGTAAGGGATGTTAATAAGGAACAGATATGAAATGTCCATGATTTAGGATAGTCTTCCATCACCTAATCTTCATTCCAGCTATGGCCTTTATACTGATTAAGTTTAGGAATGTAACTACTGGTTAAAGATCCTAAAGAATCAGTAGTTAACTGGAGAGAAAGGAGAGTACTTCTGAAATTAATTCTGCTTAGTTGAAGTTATAAGAGGAACATAATTGTACATGCAAGCAAATACATTGCAACACATATTGAAGTACAGTAAAATCTCTGTTATCCAGCATGTGGGGAATGCTAGGTGCCAGTTATGTAAAAATTACAGATATCTAAAAATACTGGAGGGGTGGGGCGAAGGCTTGCATGTGGCAGCGCAGGGTGGTGGATGGCAGCAGCGCGGAATGGTTGCATATGGCTTGCACACGGTGGTGGTGCAGGATGGTGGTGGCGGCAGTGGCATGGTGATGGTTAGTAGAGTATTCTGGCTAGTAGAATGCCAGATAACAGGGATTTTACTGTAATACAGTCACCAACACTTCAAAAAAGGCCTGGAGAATCTTGAAAGGGTCCAAAGAAGGGCCACAAGAATATTAAGGGCCTGGAGGACAAACTTTATGAGGAAAGACTAATGCATCTGAGACTGTTCAGCCTGAGAGAGAAGACTGAAGGAGGACTTGGTGGCTGTCTATAAGTATGTAAGGGGTAAATATCAGGAGCTGGGAGAAACTGTTCACCAGGGTGCCCTAAGGGAGGACAAGGAGCAATGGCCATAAACTGTTAGAGGATGGTTTCAAATTGGATGCAAGGACAAACTTCTTTACAGTATGGGTGACCAGAATCTGCTATAGACTTCCCAAGGAGGAGGTGGTGCAATCCCCAACCTTGGAAGTCCTCAAGAAGAGACTGGACCGACACCTTGCTGGGATCATTTGATCTTAACAGTATTCCTGCTCAGAGCAGGGAGGTTGGACTTGATGATCTTTTGAGGTCCTTTCCAGCCCTTAATTCCTATGATTCTATAAACATTCCTGCTTCAATATGGTAGGATAGTATGCGAGAAAAGCCATGTATTGGACCTGAGTTTGGGTAACTCTTACTTTATTATGGTTGAGGAGGGAGAAAAATCTTTTGCTTTGGTGAATGCTGGCCACCTGGTAGGCACCCTTTGCAAGTGTACATGACTTAATGCTCAACTTGTGTCATATAACAGCATGCATAGGCATTTTTATATATAATTGTAAATAAATATAGGCTTTGGTTGCAGAGAACAATACTTCTTTTCTCTATTGTTTTGGAGAACGTAAAAAAGCATGTAGCATCCATCCCCTGCAGCAGGGCAGTGTTCAGAGACCTGAGAAAAACATTTTAAGATCCTCAAGCTATCATTTACAGGATCCTGTCAAACTTGAGTTAACTGAAATTACGAAATCATTCCTCTGTCATGATGGAACAAACCTTGCCACCTTCTGATCCTAACACAAAGTTTGCTGCATAGCCATTGCTTTTGGCTAACCAGTATTTACTTTAAAATATGCATATGTTACTCTTTTTCTGGAAGAGTATAAAATAGAAGAAAATAGAAAAATAGAAAAGTAAATTCAGAGGACAGGAGATGGATCAATTTACAGTGGTGGTCTGGGTTTAAGTTCCAAAATCTAAAAATTTACATAGCAAATTTAAAATGAATTTTAAGTTCTGAAATGTTTCATTTTGAGGGTGCACAGAAAATACCTTACTTCTGTACCCACTTGGGGAAGAATTTGAACTTCTCTTGAATTCAGCTGTGGGTAGAAGATGAGCAGAAACCCTCATGCTTGATTGTTCATTTCTGGAAAATTTAAAACAAATAATTAGGAGTCTAACAGATTCAGAAAAATTACTAGAGGCACAGAAAATTCTAGAATAATTTCTGAGGGGTAACTAGGTGATATCTTACTCAAAGGTGATGCTTTTGCTGTGTGTAATTGTTTAATTATTCCCATACCACAAGATATAATCGCAGTATGTTACAGTCCAGAACTACCTCTGAAGCCATACAGGGCACATTTTTGCCAAAAGTATGGTGCTGGGGAGGACTTCCCATTGGACCAGGTTTTAATACTCAATATTGATTATATTCAAATATTCCTTCCATCTGGTTACGAGAAGTTAATTGTTGTCTTAATTGGCTTATTTAAAAAATAATGACCTTTACAAACACTAATTTGCAGGTTTATTATGGAAAACTGCTGAAAATTTTACATTTGCATTTGAGTGACTGTGTGTTCAACTGTGAAATGTTGGCTAAATGCATGCGTCTGCCTTATTTGCTCTCCCTCTCAGCATTTTCAAAAGTGACTGTTTCTGCAGATTTGCCAGAGATTATAAATTGATCACGTGCTGTCACTTGGAGTTAATGACAATACCACAAGGCCACACTTAGTATGTGTATTTCATTGGCAAAATGCTGCTTTGTGCTAAGTAATATGCCCTGCCTACTTTCACCTACTCCACCTGTGCCCAAGCCCGTAAATTAGATGCTATATGTAATTAGATTAAACCTGAGCATATGCACCCAGACTGTTCCAAAACAGGCATCCTAAGAACAAGACTGGAGTATGTGCTTAAGGTTTCTTAAAGCTATCTATGCTGCCTTATTTGTGAGCTTGTGTCTGCAAGGAGGAGATTGCAGTGGGTGAGCCTTATTTTTCAGCAGGGCTCTTGGGTACATCTTTGTTTCCTTTTGGGTGAGCCCTCTTAGCAAATAACATTAATTTATTTGCAAACTGTAATTAATCAAAGCCATGTATTCTGTATCTTTATATAATGTCTAAAGGGTTATGTTTTATTATTGTAGCTTACTCATATTTTCCTAAACATCTTATGCAATATTTAGTGTCCTGATTGCAAATGAAAGCAACACTGAAATCATGAATATTGTAAACACAAGTTACAAAAAACCCTTTGGATTCAAACTGGGAACCAATGCTATCATTAATTAACATGTGCAAATTAATGTTTGATTAGTACCTGTCTTTCTGAGGTGCTAATGAACATTTGAAGCTTACATTCATTTACTGGAATTATTGGGTCCACCCTGCCTTTAGAGGGAAAAAGGGCCTTTTTATCAGCATTCCTCATATCATGTGGCAGCCTTGTACTTCAAAGTGTTTATGGTCCTGAATTCAGATCTTTACAATAGAAAAAAGGCCCTATGATTGGTTATGTTCATATGCTTAATATTCTACTAAAATACTTTCATGTTAAAATATAGTCACCTTTTATATTTTACTACCATTTCGTACTACTTCTACTGGGTTTATTCACTCTTTTTTGCACTACTTTCATTGTTGGTAATTTTACTTACCTTTTTGTCAGAAGTAGGTGTTCTATGTGAAGAATACTGTGGTTTCTGATGCAGAAATAGATGATGTATATGAGCAATATTTAGCATCACTTCACAGGCAAAGAAAACCAGAGCTTCCTTGAAATACTTCTGAGGATTAGAATTATAAAATAATATGTTCCCTCAAACAACCACCTTCACAACATTATTTTTGTTATATTGTCCCTTATTCATATTCGCTCTCCACAATAGAAGTGGGGCAGTTTTCTGCCCCCTCCCCTCCTTCCTCTCTACTTTTTTTTTAAAGAAAAGACAGCATAGCTCATGAAAAGGCTGGTAGCCAAGAGGGAGAAAACTAGTAATGGGCTAATACAGAACACAGATGTTTACTATCCATGTGTATTTGGGGGTTACATTCAGACCCATTTCCCCATCTGTAGAGGAATGTTGGGGGCAAGAATTTCTGAAGGAAAGTCAATTCTGGAGTTAGCATCAATCTCGGTAGCGAACCCTCGGCCCCCTCGGTGCTTTCATCAGGTTCTTTGTGGTCCTGTTTTCAAAACTAATCGAATCAGCTGATCTGTTCCAAGTCGCTCCCACGAACCCTTTCTGGCATCCTTCTCCACAAGTCTTGTCCTCATGGTTCTTTCCCTCTAATTCTCATTCCCCCTTAAGGCTCTGATCCTTTTGTTTCTCCAGACTTTTTCATCCTTGGTCTTTACCTGTTTAACTAGGCTGGTTTGGCAGGCAAGCTTAGCATACCTCTCTCGATGCACCTGGCAGCTGTATATACACAGCAATTTGATACCTCATCACCTACTAATGCCAGCTGACAATCCAGATGTCTAATTTTGCAGTGAAAGTCTTCTAGGGTAAAAGTCCCCAAAGTCTGTTGTAACTGGTATTTTGAAAGCTCTGTTTTGCTCTAAGTGCTTTTGCCCAGTTTTCCTTGTGCTTTCTTCTGCCACCTGCACAGAAAGGCCAGGTCTTTTTCTCCCATATTTTTTTCATGCAGTCTTACTTGAAGTAAAATCCTATCTCTAAGGGAAAATGTTAAAGCTGAGAGATCTGAACTGCAGCTAAATACCATGGGAAATTAATGGGGAGGGTTGTTTGTTTACTATTTGCTTGCACCAACGTGTTTAGATCACCCCGGAAGTTTATCCTGCATATTAATTGCTCTTAATTGCTAGGTATTTCTAGCCTGCAGAATGTAAGCTTTCAATTGTACCTTCGTTGAAGGTGTATGTATAATGTCTTCAGGAATGCCAGATAAATGTTAAGTTGTTACCTGGAAACCTGAAATGCTGACTCACTTTACAATTTTTCTCTTAACAGGCCAGTATGGAAATCCTTTAAACAAATACATTAGACATTATGAAGGATTATCTTATGATATGGATTCATTACACCAAAAACACCAGCGTGCCAAAAGAGCAGTGTCCCATGAAGACCAGTTTTTGCGCCTAGATTTTCACGCTCATGGAAGGTAAGCAGTTATTTAAAGCTTTGCACCTCAATAGAAATTTCCTGTTTATTTTAAGCAAATATAAATGCCTAGTGAAGGACAGTACTACTGTATC